AAATAAAATTCGCGTTGCGAAAATAAACGCTCTTTGCGAATTTGACTTCTGTGTTGCGAATTTGACTTATGTGTTACGAATTACAAATTCGCATTGCGATTTACAAATTCATGTTGCGATTTACATATTTGCGTTGCGAATTTCAAAATTGAGTTGCGAAATTAAGTTCGCGTTGCGAATTCGAGATCGCATTGTGAATTTGTTGGTCATTTTCGCAAATCCAAAAAAAATGGTTAAAATCGTATATTATAAGGTATTTTCGACCACTAAATTATTTTCTCAAAAAATAAATTTAGATGATATTTTAAACCCGTTTCTATATTTAGGTTGGGCTTTAGACGAGAACTTTTCTATTCAAGCTTGACCTAATTTCATATTTATTAATATAGAAATGAATATATGATTTTATATTAGGTGGTGAATTCATAAAACTTTAGAAAATGAAAATACATTAATAAAAAATATATAAAAATTTAATTTTTATTAAATAATTATACATATATAAGTTATAAAACAAATCCTTGAGCTGAAACTCATATCTAACGATTTTAACCCACTAAAATTCTAAATCTAATAACTTAGGTCCAACCCCATTTAAAAGCCTATCAATCGTTAGAAACCCTAAATGATATATAAAAATATATTAAATTACTGTCATTCATTTTTTTTCTTTTCTTACGTGTTTTAAATTGTAACACCTCAAATTCAATTAAGATAATTCAATATATTTAAGATATCACATTAAATCGTTAAAGTATTCAATAAATTAAAACTATTTAAATTATTTCATTCATATCAAATTAAGGTCAGGATCATAAACGTTTAACTTTGAAACATTTAAATCAAAACTAAAGCCTTGTTACTTGTCAATAAAATACAAGAAAATCAGAGTTCAAGTGAGTTATAAAGGTTCCATATTGAACATGCCCACTAAATAAGATTATTGTACTCTGCAAGATCCACATGAGATTCTTTTCAACGATGTTGTTGACCGGTCACGAATTATAGATAACTATTAACTATAAATAAAGTTAGGATATTTTTAGTATTTATCTATGAATACTTTTAAATTATAAAAAATATAATTTGGTATTTATCTATGAATATTTTTAAATTATAAAAAATAAGGGGTCAGTCTTGAATATTATAATAATATTTTCATAAATAGAAATTTAAATTTTTTCCTAACACGTTGTCTTTCTCAATTGATTTCTGACATTAGAAAATTAAGGGTGTTACAATGCCACTCCTGCTTTACCAATGCCCACATTTCTCTCTGAATAAATCGGAGTTAGGTCTGGGATAGGGGTTTGGGCTAACTCGATCTGATAAAAAAAAATTACATCCTTCAATTGATTTGATTTGACCCGAAAATTCATGTCATTCACATGACTCGAATCCGACCCGGCTTTTTGAAATAAAATGGAACCGATCCGAAATAATAAAAATATTATTTTTATTTAATAAAAATGGTAATTTAATTGAAAAAATAATATATAGAGAGGTATTATTATAATTATTCCTAAATATATAAGGTAAAATTATATTTTTTTCACTCTAAACCCGAATCCGACCCAACCCAAACGTCACATTTAAAAAAATCCGACCCGACTGACCCCAACCTGATTTTTTTAAAAACCCGATCATTTTCGGGTTGAAACCCGTCGAGTTTGGGTCTCATGTCCATCTCTAATTAGGTCAATCAACGTACAATCTCACACTCGTGCATGATTTATATTTTTATGATTTAGTACATGATTTATTGATTATTCAACTCCTTTGTTTTAAGTTGATTTATGATCAAATTTAAACTCCATACTTTTCAAACTATATTAAATGCACTTTCTACTTCAATTACTCTTTTGACGCCGAGTTCACTTTTATTTTAATTTAATCCTTTGATTTTGTATTTTATTTAAGTTAATCCTCCAACCGCATCCCTGTGTGAATTCTTCCTTGTAATTTATTCTTGGACTACATTACCCTCCAAATTGCCTCTTTTTCCTACAAAATTCATGCCTTAAGATTTTCATTAGTCAATTTCCTTTTTGAACCTTTCGAATTCCCACCTGAAATTTGGGCATTACACCATATGATTGTAATATGGCATGAGGAATGATGACACGTGTTAATTTTACGATAGACCAATTAATCGTCTATGAGGTAAAATGGACTTAATAACCAAATGAATGAAACTATGTCGTGTGAATAACGTACTTCTGAATTATTTGTTTTATTTTGTTTTAGTACCTAAACTTTTATTTATTTCAAAATCATACCCAACGTTCATTTTTATTTTATTTTAGTACCAAGTTAAAAATTTGTTAGAACCGTTGTATGTGGCACATTTTGGGTAACTTCTATTTTTGTCACTAAAGTTTAAAAACTTTCAATTTAAATACTCAACTTTCAAATTGTTCATGTTTTAATCACTCTGATTTATTTTATTAATAGTTTTTACGGCATGACATTTTATTATTATTATTTTATTAATATATAATTAAATTAAAAAAACTTAAACTTCAATACCAAAATATGAGTGAGAAGATAGTTGAGTGATGAATGATGTAATTTACTCATAAAGTGTCATGTTGTAACTGAGTTTTTAATTGAGAGGCACTAAAACGAAATAAAAAATAAATGTTAGGTATGATTTTGAAATAAATGAAAGTTTAGGTATTAAAACGAAATAAAACTGATAGTTTATATACTAAATATGCATTTTACTCTTTTTTAATATTTAGGGTAATTATAAATTAGTATCTCTTTTGAATCTTTCTTAATCATTAACAATGTACATATAGAGATGGGCACGAGACTCGAACCCGACTCTATTGGCGGATTTTATATAAAAAAACTTCGAGTTCGGGTTTGATTATTTAGAGATTACGTTCAAGTGTCAAGTTCGAGTTTAGGGTGAAAAATATCTCAACCAATCCGATCCAAAAAAATATATAATTTTACCTTATATATTTAAGAAAAAATACAATAATACCCCTATATATATATTATTTTTTCAATTAAATCTCTATTTTTTATTGAATAAAAGTGATATTTTTATAAATATATTATTTCATGTCGGATCAAATCAAGTCATGTTCGAGTTTTATCTAAAAAAATAAGTTAAATTTGGATTAAGTGGAGAGTGTATAATTTTTAGATCGAGTCGAGTCGAGTCAAGTCAAATTGACTGACGCAACCCGACCTATATCTATCCCTCTATATATACCCGGTAAATGTATCGTCTATCGGAATTCAAAAACTTCTAAAAAAGATTAAAAAAAATCTACCTATTAAAGTGACCCCACGAATTCGAATGTAGAATGCATATCTAAATGTGATATAGTTGTGCTAGCGATATTGAGAATGTTAAAGTGTCTCTTGAATACCCTGTCTAGGTTGAATGCATTGCTATATTAGTATTACCCTGTTTGGGTTTATTAACTTCATGCGCTATAATTTAAGATGATTATTCGATTAAGTCTAGTTCTATTAAAAGATTTTGAGTTTATTTATTTTAACTAGTCTTATTTTATAATTTATATTTTATAATTTTTTTGAGTCGAGTCTAATTGTTAGAGTTTCTGTTTAAATTTAGTTATAAACATTTATAATGTTATGATACTAAAAAAAAATAAATTAGCTGACCCTTTTTTCCTATATGTAATGGGGGTAAAGGGGAGATTATGAAATATCCTCCGTGAGACTCGATCCCACGACATATGTTATGATACTAATTGATTCTAATTTAAACAATTTTCTATAATCATATACAATACACATATATATTTATTCATATTTTTCGTATGTGATATACATATATCATGCAGAGTTGAGTAATTATACTCGAGCATAAAAACTAATCTACTAATTATTAAAAAATTTGAGTTAATCGAATTCTATTTTATAACTTAACTCGAATTAAAAAAATTTGAACCGAATTTTGTTGACCCTATACTTAGTGATTTAAGGTCCTTACTCTTCATGTTATTTTTCCTTGTTTCACAAAACTAGCAGCACTTTTCAAATATTAAACTACAATGCAGTGCAGGATTACAATACTTCCAATCTGTATTTGATCCAATTTAATATTAAAAAAATTAGAGAAGAGAATACTCATCATCATAACTCATCGTTACAAGTTAGTTATGATTATGTCAATAATATGTGATTTATTTTGGCGTTTTTGGGAAGCAAAAATACAGGCTGGAAGTATCCCAAGCTCCAACCCTACCATTCATTTAATTATTTGATGCAAAGACTTTTCTTAAAAAAAAAAAATTAGGCAAATGATCTATTGATTATAAGGTATTATTTTGTTGATTTTTTTACTATTAAAAGTTATAAAATAGTTTTTTGACGATAGGATGTAGTTTTATTGAATCTCCGATTATTAAAAATTACAAAATAGTTATCTAACTATTTATATGTCTCAAACTCATATATTTTCGTTAAAAAATTGAAGGTTGTCTGAGCTGGACGTTAACTTGCGACTGAGATAATATCATATTTTAATAATGTCTACTAGCAACGTTATTGCTCTCAAGCATTGAATTTACGCCTTAAAATTTCAAGCATTGACTTACGAAGACCCAATCCGTAAAATACAACTCAAACGATTTTATGATCAGATTTTATCATATCCTAATTAATAAATTAATGTCTAGCTCAAATAACTATTAATATTTTAACTAAAAATGATGAGTTTGGAACATATGAATAGCCGAATAATCATCTTGTAACTTTTAATAATCGAATGACTCAATAAAATAATACCCTATATTCGAAAAATTATGTTGTAACTCTTAAAAATCCAAATTTAATAAAATAACATCATATACTCGAAGAATCATTTGTGTACTTTACAAAAAAAAAAAAAAAAAACCATTAACAAAAAAGCTTACAAGAAACACAACGCAAAGAACCCTTCCTTCCTTCCTTCCTTTATTTTATTTTTATTCTTAGTTTTTCTCTGCTTTTCCTCCTGCCTCCGCTAAGCATCTTTACCTTACTTTTTTTGTTATCCTTTTTAGTTTCTGTTGGTCTCTCTCTCTCTCTTTTTATTTTTGGCTCTTATTCTTTCCTTGTTCATGGGGTAATTGTTTTTCTTTTGTCTTGTGGTGGTGTTCCTTCTTTACTCTTTCGTTCTTTTCTTCAACAAACTGAAATTCTGCTTCTTTCTTTCGTTCTATCTGGCATTGTTTTTGTGTGATCAGTAAAGTTGAATTGCTTTTCTCCTTGTAGTTCCTTCCTGGGCAATCTTTACTTTTTTTGCCTTGGAATTTTCTTGGAGCTTGTTTCTTCTGAAACATTTTTACTATGCTTGATCTTTCCTTTGATCAAACTGTGAAGTTATAGTGTTTTTCACCTCAAGAACATACCCATATCAACCCATTTTCTCTTCACTTTTTCACTTTTTCACTTTTTCCTAGTTTCCCCCCCTTGATCAGAGAACCTTTTTATTATTGATATTGTGTTTTGGGGGGGACTGTTTCCAATAATGGGACTTTGCCATGGAAAACCCATTGAAAACCAACAAAAGCAATCAAGGGACATCTCAATCCCAGGTGAAACCGATGCACCACAAAACTCCCACTCCACCAAGTCATCAAATTTACCATTTTACAGTCCTAGTCCATTGCCAAGCCTCTTCAAGACATCTCCAGCTATACCCAGCGTGAATTCCACTCCTCTCCGCTTCTTCAATAATGGGACTTTGCCATGGAAAACCCATTGAAAACCAACAAAAGCAATCAAGGGACATCTCAATCCCAGGTGAAACCGATGCACCAAAACTCCCACTCCACCAAGTCATCAAATTTACCATTTTACAGTCCTAGTCCATTGCCAAGCCTCTTCAAGACATCTCCAGCTATACCCAGCGTGAATTCCACTCCTCTCCGCTTCTTCAAACGTCCATTCCCTCCCCCTTCTCCTGCAAAGCATATCAGGTCATTGCTGGCAAGAAGGCATGGCTCAATTAAGCCTAACGAGGCCTCAATCCCTGAAGGAAATGAGTTGAGGTTGGTTTGGATAAGAGTTTTGGGTTCTCAAAGCATTTTACGTCTCATTATGAGCTTGGTGAGGAAGTGGGGCGTGGACATTTTGGATATACTTGCTCCGCTAAGGTCAAGAAAGGAAGCCTCAAAGGCCATGACGTGGCTGTTAAAGTTATTCCAAAGTCCAAGGTCTAGTTTTCCTTCTTCTTAAGTTAACTTTTTAGACAAATTTTCATTTGCACTTGTCATTAATAAGCAATTGCTGGATTTTGTTTCGTATTCACTCTGATTGAGGATCTTATGATCCCAATATAATCTTAACACTTGTTAACTGTGTAGCTGTATCTCAGGTATCCATTTTGTTGCTATGGTAGCAGCGTTTTAAATTAGGTTATTATTAAATTAGCAGCTTTGGTTTGGAAATATTGTATTTGTATGTTAAATTGAGGGCTCAGCTTTCTCTTTTCGTTGCTATAATTAAATTAAGTCATAGTGAAATATGATGTTAGTCTTGTTATGTTTTTGAAAGACCGCAGTTTGTAATAGCTACTGTTGTCTTGGCTACTTATTCTAAAAACTAATAAGCTCTATTCTGTCACAATGCAGATGACCACTGCAATTGCCATAGAGGATGTAAGACGAGAGGTGAAGATACTACGAGCTTTAGCTGGCCATAAGAACTTGGTTCAGTTCTATGATGCTTATGAAGAAGATGACAATGTTTACATTGTGATGGAGTAAGTTTGAGGAGATTGGATTTTCTTAATATGGCTTTCATTGTCTTACATTTGTGTTTTTTTTTGTTTTTCAAATTATTTCATGCTTACGTGATGGACTATTCTAACTTTTGACTCCATGGGAAGTAGGCCTGAAATTCATATGGATAGATGCAAGCAATTTTCTCAAAACTGATTTTCACTTTGCACTTCAGTGATCAGCAACAGCATCAGAGTTTAACTGCAATACAGTCAATTTGTCTGTGACTGTAAATCTTAACGAGACCACAAAGCTTTAATGTAACTGCTTTAGATATTATTCATGAAAATAGTTGGCCAAAATGGTTTACATCCGGTCAAAGTATATCCATCTAGCTGGAAATATTAATTCTCAAATTTTGCTTTACATGATGTCTTGTTCTTATTGTTTTACTTTTTCTTGCTTCTGTTCCTTCTTCTTTGGGGTGAAAAATCTACTGTTAGATTTCTGGAGCTTATTCCCTATTACTTTTAATGGTTTTCAGATTGTGCAAGGGTGGAGAACTGCTAGATAGAATACTTTCAAGGTACATGTGCACCTCTTACCTTTTCACTTTATGGTAAAATGTTTGACGTGTTTTACAACTTTCTAAGAGTATGGATTTTGCTTGTGCTCTCTAGGGGCGGAAAATACCCGGAAGAAGATGCCAAGGCTGTGATGCTTCAGATTTTAAGTGTTGTGGCCTTTTGTCATCTCCAAGGTGTAGTTCACCGTGACCTCAAGCCTGAGGTAATTGACTCATATGTGTCAGGCATCATGGCCATGCTCTTTGTTTCCTACAGCATCAAGTCTCATGATCTCCGTCCTAGAAACTTAGTCGAACTATTAAAGAAAGTATATAGGGTGAAAGCCTTATTCACCTTATTTATATGACTAACTGAGCACTGGAACAATGTGACTGTTCTTTGTGAGAGTGGTTATGATTTATGCTTAGCTGCTATTCTCTTCTATATCCTCTATTTAAGAATAACAGGATTTAACATTTGAATGCTTTAGCCCGTTTCGGGATGAGTTGCTACTTTGTTTTTCTGAAGGGTTACTCTAGTGAACTCTTGCAATAGATGTATTTGCGTTGGTTGACTTTCATTTTACTCTCTTTCCACTATGTCAGTCTTGGAAGTACACTTTCTTTAAAATCCTGTTTGGTTTTTCCCGTATTTCCCTTGTTACTCTTTTCCATGTATTATGTATTGAGCTACCGCAGTCTTTTTATATTTTTGTGGGGTTAAACTCCCATCCATTACTTTTTCACCCGTTTCTGTGCAATACAAGTTTAATCATAAAAATGATTTGCACATTTCATAAGTTGGGTCGTATACATGAAAGATGCTGATTAGCATATATTTGAATGCCGTAGACAAAAAAAATATTGGACGGGCTCTCAACCCTTTCTTTGTCGATGTTTATTTGGTGCACAAAAGTTAAAAGCTGCATGTTTTCTTTTGCATCATCACCAATAGTGTGTTCAATCATCGACCAAAATTTTCATCTAAAGGAGCATAAATTGTTTTCTGTACATGGTTTGATTTAAAAATTCTGCATTTGAATGTTGGTCTGTTCTCTATTCCTCTCTCTCTCTCTCTCTCTATATATATATATATATATATATATAATATTATCCGATACTTATATCAAACCATGATCCTATGAAATTGTAGAACTTGATTGTAAAGTTTTGCCTAATGATAAAATTTTCACTTTGGGATAATAATTCCCACATTATGATCGCCATGTAGGGCACTCCATTAATGGTAATATGCTTTTTTTTGGTTTCAGAATTTTCTTTTCACTACTAAAGATGAGAGTTCTCCTCTGAAGGCAATTGATTTTGGACTTTCAGACTATGTGAAGCCAGGTTAGAACTACTCATTGATTTTCATTCTCTGTTTCTGTTCAAAGGAATGTGTTTTGATTGTTGTAGGATTTCCCAGATGAAAGATTGAACGACATCGTAGGAAGTGCATATTATGTCGCACCCGAAGTACTACATAGATCATATGGGACTGAGGCAGACATGTGGAGTATCGGAGTAATTGCCTATATACTTCTTTGTGGAAGTCGACCATTTTGGGCTCGAACAGAATCTGGCATCTTTCGAGCTGTCCTTAAAGCTGATCCAAGCTTTGATGAAGCTCCTTGGCCTTCTGTATCCCCTGAAGCAATAGATTTTGTAAAGAGATTGTTGAACAAAGACTACCGTAAGAGACTAACTGCTGTGCAGGCTCTGAGTAAGTATCCGAAACTATTTATGTTGCGAATCCTAACTTGCTCACCTGGTATAGAACATCAATTATTTTTCATATGAATAAAGAAAGTGTGCTTACTATTTTCTCTCTTCCTCAAGTAGACTTTCATATGAATAAAGAAAGTATCCTTACAATTTTTGCAAGGTTGAACTTGTTTTACTAGTTTCCCTTCTTTCATGGAGATAATATGAATAAAGAAAGTATCCTTCAAATTTTCGTCCATAAGTAGACTTCACCTCTAAGGATGATTATTTATAATGACTTTCCACTTGAGGCTTTTTTTGGTTCCTTCTTTTACCCAGAAATTTAATAATGGCATTGTTCATGTTTTATGCTTAGGTCATCCGTGGCTGGCAAATTGCCATGATGTAAAGATACCATCAGATATGATAGTGTGCAGGCTTGTTAAAGCTTATATAGGCTCATCTCCACTGCGAAAAGCAGCATTGGGGGTAAGTATAAGTATATAATGCCTTCTTGTTAAAGTTTGTTACTTGGAGCGTCTAGGTTTCTTACATGTAGCTATAGTTCATTTTTCCGTAAAATGCCATCATTTATTGTCTGCGTCATAAATGAAAGCAAGGTCCAAAATTCAGACTTCATTTTCAGCTGTAGAATTAACCCTAAAACGCTCATCGTTTGTGACAACTTTCTAGATCATCTAAAATGTGGATATTCTGGAAATGCCCTTCATCAATATTAAACAGATATTGTGTCGTTGCATCGAATTATATGAACCCGGCAATATCCATATTAACAGTCTCTTTCTCTCTCTCTCTCTATATATATATATCAAGGGTGGGTTCTAGCACCACTTTTGGGAGTAAGAAAGTTACCTTGGACATTACACATTAAGATGATATGGTCGCACTCTTCAATACTTTTGGTACATCATTGTTGCAAATGTTTAAATCATTTATCATTTTAGCATTATTGACGTTTTGATCTTGTTCTAACACTTAGTTGTGATAAGTCAGCAGCTATGCATGATAGCATACTGTGCTTCTCTACTTGTAAACACCATGGTAACATAATTTGAAACCATTGATTTTTCTACATCCAACCCTATTTCTACCACTTTGAGCCACTGATTTGCTCGGCTTTATTTTTAGTGGTTCCATGCAACTCAATGATTAAACATTGTGACTTCATTTTGTCACATGTGACATTGTACAGAGGTCTGGTGTAATTAAGAAAGATCCTGTTTGCTGATATGTGTACTTTTGAAAGTAAATTATAAAATGGAAGTGAAGACAAAAAGGAACAATGACTTATTCTACTATTACCTTGGGCATTAGATTGGGTTGTGTAAAGATAATATAAGTGTAATGGTGAACTTGTCATGGTATGAGATGTTATTGTTCCAATTAAAATTTTTTTGCCAGTAAAACCTATTGCACGCCCATCTGGTTTGCAGTTGGGTTTCCTAAGATCCTACAGAACCACTCCAAGCACTTCAATGCTTCTATGCTCCTTCCAAACACTCGATACTTACTAACACAGCCGCAAAACAAAGTAAAACCAAATAGAACTTGGCAGAACTTATAACATAAGGTAGACTAGTTGAGAGATGCTGAATTATTGACACATTGTACCATAAATGATGCTATTTGGTTTCAGTAAATTATGTTTCTTATGATTAGCCTATATTATTGATATAAAGAAACATGCCTCACAAATTTGGATACGTTGGCTGAAGCTTCCTTATTATGGCAGGCACTTGCCAAGACGTTAACTGTTCCACAGCTTGCTTATCTCCGGGAACAATTCACTTTATTAGGACCTAACAAAAATGGATTTATTTCCATGCAGAATTTTAAGACGGTATGATACTCTGTAATTGTTTGCTTTAACTTTTATCCATTTTAAGTCATTCTAAATAGCATGGAATTTGCAGATGATGTTGAAGAATTCTACTGATGCTATGAAAGATTCACGGGTCCTTGATTATGTCAACATGGTAAAGCTTCCAAGTTACTGTCTTTTTCCTTGAGGAGAGCCTTTGAAAGAATACTTTGAACGTGTTTAAAATGATGATACTATCAGCATGTTTTTCTGTGTTGTGCAGATTAGTTCTATTCAGTATAGAAAATTGAACTTTGATGAATTTTGTGCCTCTGCGATAAGTGTGCATCAGCTAGAAGGAATGGAAACATGGGAGCAACATGCAAGGTGTGCATATGATTTGTTCGATAAGGATGGAAACAGGCCCATTATGATAGAGGAACTTGCCTCGGTAAGTCTTCCCAGCTTGTCTCTCTGTTTCTGTCTTTGTCGTAGTATGCCTAGCCTAGGTATCTATAACATGGCATAGGACGTGGGAAACAAAGGGGTACATATGTTCAATGATTTAGGGAAGCATATGAAAAAGAAACAGTTGAACCCCAACTAGACTCCGGTGTTCGAGAACGTCTTATTGAAGCATGAGTTGAGTATTGAGATTCTTCCATTTATCCTATACTTTGATTACCAAGCGAGGGACTGAATCAAGGCCTGTGAAATCTCATATAATGTAGTGCTAAAGGGTAAATCATTTGTGTAATGTTCCAGGAACTTGGACTTAGCTCATCAGTACCTGTTCACGTTGTTCTTCAAGACTGGATTAGGCACTCAGATGGGAAGCTTAGTTTCTTGGGCTTTGTTAGACTTCTACATGGATTATCTTCTCGCACATTTCAGAAATCTTGAGGTTGAATTGAACTACATTTTTTGTCTCCCTTACCACTCTTGCGTAGACAAATGTGTGCTTAAATCCGAATCTGATCGTGCAAATGGACTGTAAAGTCGAATCAGATACTTTGCTTATGAAGCAAGCACTTCATATCTTCTCATCATGTCTAGGATTTCTTTCCTTCCTTCTCATGTCCTGAAAGCATTTTCATTTTCCTCAGTTGTCGTAGTAGTAAAACAATTATATATATATATATATATATATATATATAATGTATACGATCATTGTTGTTTTGTCTTTCTTCCAATTCTTATATCATTCATCCTATCCCGTCCTTCAATTTATTTCCTTCGAGTTTGAAACTGAAACTTGAATTTGATTTAAATTGGTTCGATTTCTTGGGCCAGTTTAGTATTGTTTTTTAAATGCATCTTTTAAAAGCAAAGTGTGATTTAAAATTTAATTGTTTGAGATTTCTATCCAATAATATTTTTAAAAGATAAAATATTTGTTTGACATTACGTTGTAAAATTTATTATAAATTATATGTAAATTCATTAATGTTATGATATGCAAAATATATCAACTTTAACTATAATAAAAATATAAAATCAGTTTTTAGTAACTCATTATTATTATTTTAACGGGTAAACTACTGGAATAATCATTTATCTTTTATATGTGTTTTATTCATCAAATTCGAAAAAGTTAAATTTTGGTCACTTATGTTATTATTTTATTAAGTTTTGACCACATAGACATTGAATATCGTTAATTTGATAATATGATATGTTATAAAAGTGTCTAATTTTTATTTTAACCTCTGAATTTTAGATAAAATATTGATTGTAGGGTTTGTTTTCTTTTTACCCAAAGTGGTTTAAAGACAAAATTTTTGTTTGAATATGCTTTTCTTCCACTGGTACCTTTGCGAAACCCTAACTTTTTATGATCCTACATGGGTCATTAAAAATGTATATAAAATGTTGTTTATTTTTTTAATTCAATTCAAATTTTACTCCGACTTTATAACATTTTTTCCAAGCAAACCTCTTCTCCAAAAAAAAAAAAGATTTCAGGACTAGTGAAACATATATATTTAACTTTTAAAATTCAAAATTAAATCAATATTTAAAATATGATAAACTATGTATTTAATTACTAACTATTGAAGTGATTTTGTTTTGGTCACCCAACTATTTTTTCTTAAAATAATACCTAATATTGCATTTTGAGTTTATTTTAGTTTTATGTTTTTAAAAAATTAATAGAACTGTTAACATGATATGTATTTTTAATTATTTAACGTTAATGTGCACTGTTAATTTTTAAAAATAAATGATCAAAATTAAAATAAAATATAATATTAAATATGATTTAAAAGAATAATTGAATAACCAAAATCCAACCGCATAAATAGTTTATTCTTTTGAATACTGACCGTACATGAAAAAAAGGATAAATAAAATTTTATAATCGGATAACAAAAAGTGAAATTTAGAGTGATTATTTTGTAGTCTACACAATAAGAAAAAGAAAAGAAAGGAAACAGAAATAGAAACACACGGCAGGGTAGTCCCATTGGAATCAGAACGACATTGAGAGGGAGAGAGAGAGAGAGAGCTGAATTCTGAAGGCATGGAAGGTAGATTCATTCTTCTTTTCTCTTTCTTCCTCCAAATTTAAACCCTAAATCATCTATTCTCTGTCTCCGCTCTTCGCTTTTGACTATGCTTACTTCACCAAGTCTGATTTTTCTCTCTTTTAATTGCTTATATATTTATGGTTATATGCTTTTAATTGTCTGCTCCTTTCCCTTAACATATACTCCTTTCTTGTTATTTGAACTTTGCATTTTTTTAAATAATTTTGTCAATACCTTTTTAATCGTGGAAAGGAAAATTGGGGAAAATGTAAGATATGTTCAATCCATAACCTAGGTACTAAATATAACAAAAATTGAGTTGTATCCTTGACCTCCACTTCTTAGTTATTTGTATCTAAATCGCTTATTGACCCATACGGTGTAGTTTGGCCTTTTTAAGATAAGTTCACTATGTCCTTGGTCTATCTGGAACTGCACTGTGGCATTAGCCCCAAAAAGCCGAGAAGGTGATATCAATAGCCATAGCATCTGTTTTACCGCATTTCTTGTTTGTGCCTTGCTGTGGTCCTTTTAAGACAATGGCTTCTCGTACTGTATATAGTTTGTTTAATCCAATGACAACAGCCTTTTTTGTGAAAAGTTGTTTCTGTGTGCAATTACATGCAAGATAGGGGTTTGTCCTGGGTTAGCCTTAAGATAACATGGTAATGCCATTATAACTCATTATGTCGGTATATTAACATTGCTACGTATTATTGACCTAAAAATCTCAGTGTCACATTTTGTTTCTGTTTTATGGAAGTTTTACCGTTCATGTTCCTTTTTCTCTTTCTCTTGAAAACTGATGTTTTGGTTTCTATGAATTGTTTGAAGCCATTACATTGGTTAAACTTAGAAAGATATATAAAGAGATCTGAACGAAACTTTATAAAACAAAGTGAAGTAACAATACCCGGTGATGGTGGATACAATTGGCAGTGTGATCCATTCTTCATACCTGTCACTTTATAAGCTAGAATTGCGAGTCATAGATCAATGAGATAAAATCCTTATGATAGACAATAATTTTGTTTCTTTTTCCCCCCCAAATTACCATAACAATAAATATAGGGGCTATGGGCTAGAGTGAAATATGGAGAAATTGTCCAACTGTAGGAGTTTTTGTTTACTTGAGTATACTTGTACCTGGTTCATTTGGGCATTACATTACTTCCATAAGAACAGATTCTGCTTTGTGTATTACTGTATTTCAATGTGCTTTTACTTAAAATGGTCAGCTTGAAAGGACATGATCTAGAGCAAATATTGTAAATTCAAATCACTCGAAAGTTATATGAATTCTCAATCAAAAAGTTTAAATCAATAACCAAAAGATAAAAAATCTAATAAAATATTAATATCTCAGTTACATCATATTGCAAGCCTATGCAGGCCTAAAATAACATTTGGTAAATATAACACTTAAGCCTTAATATTCGGTGATTAAAAAAATAAGAATTAATATAAACCAACTTAATAATCTACACTTGCCTAGATAACTTAATTCTCAACTAGCATATTTTCATCATCAGGAAATCTTGTGGTATTTTCTATAGTTGAGTTGTATAATCACCGTTTGGCAGCCATTCTTTCTCAAGTAGTGCTTATGCTTTGCAATGTTCTTTTCACAAGATGATATTTTTTTTCAGGATTCTGTTAATCAATGTACTCAATATGGATTTTATTTATTTATTTATTTTTGTGCGATGTTGCAAGTTTATCATAAACCCATGGCTTAGGTTTTTATATGAACCGTGTGCAACATCTTTCTCTTCTTCCCTGGTAATCATCTTTCATAAATTTGAAAATGAGAGATTAAATTAATAGGTATATTCTGATAATGACATTCACAAGCTCCCATAATGCACATTTATTATATTAATACTGTGTTATGATAATTCTACAACATCTTGACTGTGTATCTTGGATGAAACTCTATGTCCAATAAATTTATGTTACATGTTTTAAGTGAAACAAAAATGATTTCCAGAACAGTAAGAAACAGCTTTATAAAGTATTGACAGGCAGAAACTGAAACTTCGATTGCATTTGAGTTAAGTTACACTTTACTTTTTCATTCTTTCCTTATTTATTTATTCTACTTCTCATGTATATCCAGTAACCTGTTGGAGCAGTTGGACCATTGTCTTAGAGGTGTAACTAACTTAGATGGTTGTTTAGAGGAAATGATCTTTGTTTTCTGGGCTTATATCATTTATTTATGTGGACTGATATACGCGGGCTTAATTTTTATGCGATGTACATTTAATTGGATATCATTTTAGACATTTTAGGTAGCTTTCAATTATTAAGATAATGGGATTTAAGAAATGGATTTTGTGTTTTGACAATTTAAGTTTCAGATAATATCTGAAGTCTTCCTTTCGAGATTGTTAGGGTAGTGGAGCTACTTGCTCCAAAACTTTTGTTACAACATTTTTATTCCACCTGATGTGGCAAAAGTTTGTTGGACAGCATCAAAGGTGACAGCACATCTGCCAGATTAATTGTTCGTAAATGCATGTTAAAACTTCAAAGTTGAAGCAATAGATTGTTTCCACACCAAGTGGTGGGATAAAATGTTGGGAAGCGTAAATCTTATTTCCTTATTAGGGATACATCAAATAGATTGTTTCAATTAAGGACCTTATTGTCAGATTTTTGTTGATTTCTAGAGTTTGTATCATACCATCTTCTTGAACTCAGCATGAAATGCTTTAGTTTGTGTATATTCTGTTTCTTATAGGGTCATAACCTTTTAATTAAAGATTAAATTCAAAAGATTCTGAACCTTCAACTGCACCCTATTTTATTTGTAAATTTGTAGTTTGTCTTGTACTCTTGTTCTCTTTGTTTTGAATACTATTTTGGTGTATTTTAGTGTCATTTCTCTTTATTGTCAGCTTATGTATACATGTGACGTTCAACAGGTGGGTCCCCAGACCAAGAATCAGTTGGGTCTGGTACAAAAAGGTCCACTGTGTCTTCTGGCAGTAAATCTCGTAGTCACAAGGAATTTTTGTACAGATTTATTGATTGTGAAACATTTACTTCAAATCTTGAAGATTGGTTTCACTCATTATATGAGAAGTCAGCACCGATGAAGCCTGCCTTTGATGTACCGTTCGAGTTGATAGAGCTTCAAAAATTTGATTATGCTTTGGAAGGGGTTTCATTTCAACAGCTTATTCGAATGCCAAATGCTGTTTATGCTTCGACATCTGATTCTGCTGAAGCAACTGCTTATCTTGCCGTTGAAGATTTTTTACATGCCACTGTAAAGGGCCTGTGGGAGACATTTTGGAGTCAAGATGAACCAATGCCTTTCTCTATTACCCGTCTTTACAAAGAAAATTTAAAATTTTACCAGGCCGAGAATGCAATAGCTAGTGGGAGGCTTGGAAGTCTCTGTGCTTCTGGTGTATTGCTTAAGAACCCTAGACATCCTCATGGAAAGTGGGACGATATTCTTGAACTGGCTCTTTTGAGGCCTGATATCCAAAGCCTTTCTGTGGAAAGTGAACAACAGCCTTCTCTACTTGTCCTAGGTGAGGCTCTTTTCTATGCCTTGCGCATGCTCATA